GAAGCCTTCTCTTCCCTAGGCTGAACAACCCCAACTCTCTCAGCCTTTCTTCACAGGAGAGGTGTTCCATCCCCCTGAGCATTTTTGTGACCCTCCTCTGGACCCGCTCCAACAGGTCCATGTCTTTCTTATGCTGAGGGCTCCAGAGCTGGACGCAGTGCTCCAGGTGGGGTCTCACCAGAGCAGAGCAGAGGGGCAGAATCCCCTCCCTCGACCTGCTGGCCACGCTTCTTGTGATGCAGCCCAGGATAGGGTTGGCCTTCTGGGCTGCGAGCGCACGTTGCTGGCTCATGTCCAGCTTTTCATCCAGCAGTACCCCCAAGTCCTTCTCGGCAGGGCTGCTCTCAATCCCTTCATCCCCCAGCCTGGATTGATACCAGGGGTTGCCTTGACCCAGGTGTGCCTTGTGCCGATCAGAGTGAGAAAGTAAAAAGGGGATCTTGCTCAACTAACAAAGCCAGTCCTCAGACAATGTGAAACACCTTTATTTGGAAACCTACCTTTAGAAATACCAAACCGCTGTTCTTCCTTTAAACATTGGTGGCCTCTATGCCATTAGAAGAGCTGACAGGCATACTGCGTGGGGGGCAGAGGGAAACCAGAGCCCAGTACACCCACCCACAGCCAGCACTTGCACAAAAGTCAGCTGCGGCCCTACAGCAACCACCACAAAATTTTGAAGAAAAGGAAAATCCCCAGAGAATCCCACTGACCAAGTAGTAGTTCCTGTGCTGCGCTGACGGATCTGGAAGCAAAATGTAGGGAAAACAAAAGGAACTACACTTAAGGCATAACCTATTCTTCTGTAAGCTTTTCTGCCCTGCTGTGACTTTCTTTGAATGCAACAGGAAGACTTTCTCCAACTTCCAGGAAACTTCGTATCACACTATTTTTGGATTTCAGTTCACTGTTTTAAAAGTTTCAAGACAGTATTTTGCTATCGGTACAATTGTGACAGAAATAAATTTGGCTGTTAGGGCTAAAATATACCCCGATGCCAAGAGGGAGACCATACATAAGTTATCATTTGTCTGCTCAATCCTGGAAATTTTATCATCTATTCAACTTACTTGCTTGATTTTCTTTCCTTTCTTGTTGTTCTTGTTCAAAAGTAGTTTTGAACCATAAAAACCAAGTTTGAAAATGTTAAAATTTAATTTTCCCGCATTCTCAGACCTATAAATCAAAGAGGAAGATAGCGCAAAGCCCACAAAACAGCTTCAGTTTGAACAATGAATTTTGTAGCAGAACAGTATCAGCAGATACCTCCACATGCTGGCCTGTTTTCTGGCTCGGCTCTGTGGCTCCTCTGGACCACACTGCTTTGCACCCCTCAGCTGGGAAACCAGAGCGTGCTTTGTGCCAATCAGAGTGAGAAAGTAAAAGGGGGCTCTTGCTCAACTAACAAAGCCGGTCCTCAGACAATGTGGAACACCTTTATTTGGAAACCTACCAAAGTCTCTGACAGGTTCTCGCAAGAGACGTGGAGTAAATCAGAGAGTTGCAATGCAGGTCACTGCGATGCAAATAGGGATGCCGTACATCCATGTCAAGTCTTGGCAATGCTCCCGACACCCAGTGTAAACTGGGTGCTACTTCCTGGCCTCTCACAACTGTGGAGGTGTTGACCCGTCACCTACATTTAATTCAACAATGAAACTGTAACCAAAAAGAGGAGAAAATCCAGCCAGTGACTTATATTGCAGAAAGCTGAAGATATTGAAGTTAACTTTCTCTGGCCCATAACAGGAGATTAAGGGGGTAAAGCACTCCTTTCAACCCAGCACTGGCCCAAAGTTAGCATTGTACAAAAGGGGACATAAAGCATGGTTCTGCAAGCAAAGAAGGTTCAACCGGTCTTTATAAACTCATCACAAAACCTCTACGTGCTCCATGCTGTGTTGGTAGCACATTATAGAAAGAGCTCCAGGCCTTACTTATGCAAACATCCAAGCGTGCCATCACTAAAATGTCGCCTGTTAAAAAAAAAAAAAGAATCTCCCCCAGAGTGTCTCAGAGTGGTGGTTAATGACACAGCAGCCACCACCCTGCACTGTGCAAGTGGCAATGCGCACTCTAGCGACATGAATAAGAAGAGTGACTGGATAAAAAGGAAGGGCATTAGCCTTATGTAAGTAGCAGCGTAGTGAAAAATAAGGTTATGTCATTACTTTTTAGCAAGGAAGTACTTGTAAGTCTACATTTAAACTAAGTACCTGAAACATTAGTTTGATTGAATATGTTCTCTAACTTACCCCTTGGAGTAATGCACTTAGAACTTGCTAGCTAAATATTCTAAACTAGACTTTGCATAAGCATTTAAGTGTCTCGGATGAAAAACATTCGAGCCCAGCATGTGAATGTCTCCCCACCTTGGGATCCCTGCGTGAGATTCAGCTGAGAGGCGAGTTACAGAAACCCTCACCCACGCAGCACGGGGTTCAGGCTCAGACTGCAAATGGCAGCTCGTTCCCAAAACGGGCATGTAGTGCATGAGGAAAGATTAAGATCTGCTCATCCATAAATCAAAAAGTGAACTTGCTCTGTGAATACTCCTGGGTCTGAGGAATCCAACAAAGAGACAGTTTAATCCTCATAACTGCCACTGCAACCTTTCTGTGCATGGGCTGTATTTGACCACCAGTTGAGAAAAATCTCCGGTATTAGCCACGGTAAATTTTCTTTGCTATCACTCTTTAAGGGAGTACAGTACACATTCTTCAAAAAGTATAAGCCTTCAGTTTGATTTGCAAAGTGTCTTCTCCTGAGTTAGGCAGGTGTCAGGAAACAGATGTGATTTGGGAGCTGACAGTCAGTGCCTAAGTCAGCACCCCACCAGACAGTTTGAGAAAGAGAGAGACGTACCACACATAGCCGAGGTGAGGCTCTCAGCCTTGGTGCCATCCCATGAAGTACCAGAGATAATACCAGGATCGAGCCTAAGGGGCAGCAGATGCAGGAGAAAGTACGGGGTGACAGAGGTTTACAGTCTTGTTCTCTTACTGCCTTTCCTTCCCCTTCTCTCCTCAGAATTTCCCTGTCTCGATACCTTAGAGACCATATTGCACTAACTCTTTAGGATACACTACTACTATAAAACTCACATTTTCTCCAGGTCTTAGAGAGTCTTCCCTTTCCCACCTGAACAGAATTGGGATGCCAGCTATAAACACGTCTTCTAGCCCACCCTCCAAGCAGAAGAACATTTCTGCTTCCAACCAGACTACATTCAAACTCAGCGTAAAGAGCACGGTCCCCTTCAAACCCAGCGACTAAGCTCTGCTGCAGGCAGCTTATTGTCGACATAGAGCTCAAGTTGACCAAAAACTTGCATAAGCCCATCATTGTTTTACTGTCTTCCATTTAGCATTCAGATGTGAATCAATGAAGAAGGATGAAATTTCAGGTACAAAAGAGATGGACTAGGGTGTGGAAAGAACAGCTAATAGAGGATAAAAGAGGATTTGAAAGCAGAAAAAACAAATATCAATAACTGGAAGTTACTTAAGTCATTCTTTCTCATTATTACATTACAGGAAAAACGTAGTTTGGGGTTTTTTTTCAGTGCCGAGAAATTTGAGTTGGATTCTTACCTCTGTTAAGCCAATGCAAACCCAGAGTAATGCTATTCACTTCAACAGACGTTCTCCGCATTTTAGCAAGAGCCCTTAGAGAATAGAATCGAATGCAGGTATACCCAGTCTCCTCTCAGATGGGCTGTCACCTCCTGTAGCTATGGGTTCAATTAAACAAGCAGTGACATATAACCCAAATAGCTCTGGAATCAGTGTCAGACAGTGACTGACGGCTGGGAAGGCACCAAAAGGAATTATTACATCCCTTTCACGCATTAGTTTCACATACATCACAAAAACTCACAGGAGTATACAGCAGTGTCCCAGGCAGGACTACGTGGATGCATGGACAAGAGGTCGACAAACAAATGATAAAGGCAATAGGCAGGGATGGCCTCTCTATCATCACTAGCCTTGTAACTTTGAGTGCTGAGGAGTAGGAGGCGAAAAGGCTGCAAAACATGGCCAAGGATGAAGGCAAAATACTGGCCTAGCTGGGCAACTCATCTGACCCAGCAGGGAATTTTGTATGTTTTTCTTATTCACGCATATCTCCCTATTCTAAAGTTACTGTGCCATTTTAATGTCTATGAACTAAGAAGCTGCCTTCCTCTGAAATTATTGGATAATTCACTGTTATTTACAAACTTATTGTTTTCCTACTGTATTGGTCACATTCCTAAGTAACTACTATGTCCCTCATTCCAGACCTATATGTTGTAGGACTGGGATGGGCATGGATCTAGATTCTTAGGTACATACTTTTTGTGAAAATCTGTACATTTCAGATCGCATCCTTCGCTGTTGTGAGTCCCACAGGATCTTCTGAAGAGGACTATAGGGCCATCTCCATCTTCAGTAGGACTGCGAGAACCTGCCTAAGCAAAAGATCTGAGAAATTCGCTAACAAACAGTCAAGGGGAAGCAGAGCAGAGTGTTTTACTTTTTAAACCTGCGAGAATAGTATGAAACCCCAGTGGAGAAACATTTAAACCTTACGACACTGGTATTTGTTCTCCCTCATCTCTGTCATTACCCATGCATAGCTACTGCTCCATCTTTAATATAGATCAGTTCCTGGCCCAGGCGGGTCCCAAGCCACATAGACAAAATTCTGTGAGAACAGGATTGCTTTTGTGCCAGTCAAGCACCAAACCCGTAGTTTGGGTCTCGATCTACTACTGCCTTTGGGCAAGGACAAGCCAGGATTATCTGTCTGTTCCTTTAAGGGTGCTGAAAGTGGATGCTGAAAGAAGGCCAGCTGGAAATGTTTTCAAAGGAGGCGTCAGAGCAAGCTGAAATACCAGAAGAACAGGAAAAGCACAAAAACCAAATAGAGTCCAGTAGCTGCAATACACACAGGACAGCCAGAAGAAAGACTGGGGATACTAAAAAGGGACCTTTCCCTTGGAAGTAAAAAAGAAAGAGCTCCAGCAGACAAGGTAAGATTATATATGAACCTTGGAAATCAGAAATCCTGCAGTGACAAGGGAAAGAGGGAGGAAAGAAGAGAGCAGTCCGGTGAGGAACTGGGGGGCTGGGTCAGGCTGTGTGGGAGAAGAGCGGACAGCTCCAGCACTAACCAAGAATTGATGGGGAAAACAAGAAACAGAGGAGGTTTTGCTTGAGAATGACACCAGAGCATCCCACCATCTCTCCAAAAGTTAAGAAAAACCCTAGAGTTATAAAAGACAAATTGACCATAAGGGGTGACTGAATGGGAACAAGTTGGATCCCTCCCCCTTACGCACCAAGGTACGGATCTCGTCGTCAGAGGTTTGTGGCTATGAATGCAGAAGGGAGCAGTTATACCAGCAGCCAGCAGAGCTGAGCTGGGGCTGCAGCAGAGCCCTTCACCAACTGCGAAGGGCTGGGGTGTGAGGTGAGCGCACACCCCGCAGCAGACAGAGCGGCACCCACCTCCCACTCCCCAAGGGCAGAGCGGGCTGCCTCTGCAAGCCCTCAGCCCACTGCATTTCCCAGCTCAGCACCAGTGGCAGGTTCTTCCTGCACAGCTGCTTAAATCAGGTGGGAAACTTCTCATCTGACTTATCTGCCAGCCTAACACAGGTGCCTCAAAGAGTAAACCTACAGAAAAGAGGTGTATGTCTAGCAGAAGACCCCAAACAGTGCATGTGCTGGGACTGGAGGGGTGCAGTGACCGGGGCACACCTGAAGTTTTTCTGTACATAGCTCAAAACAGAAATTACTGCACGCGATGGCACAGCCCTGCCACAGATGAGCAGCATCAGAGGTGCAGCACACTGCGCCCTGTGAGCCCTGGGAATACAGCAGTTTGCCCCGCTCACCTCCCAAGGGGCGGGATATTTTGAAAGGATCCATGAGACCTGCTGCCTTTGTGTCATGCAGCCTGCCGGGGGGAGAGCAAACATGGCAAGACCTGAAACAGACTGGGGCAGAGAACCTAGGCTGGCAAAGTGAAAAATATAACCTGGCTAAGTCACAGAGCTAATTTGTACAGATGTTCTTCATTACAGTGCTAGAGATGCTCTTCATCCCTCCTCTTCTTGATGCCTTTCTCAGAACTTCTTGGTACCACATGAGGCATTCACACAGCATTAGGGTGCTGTAACACTTTAATGATTATCATGTGAAAGGAGAGCGAGGGGATGTTATGGTGACTAAGTGAGTGTGATCCTGGGCAGGGCCAAAACTGGTCCTGCCAAAGCCACGTCTGCAGCAGAAGCTATTACAACACCTGGGGAGGAACGAGGGGCAGAAACGCTTCTTTCCTTGAGCGCTCTGAATGTGTCTCACATTCCCCCCATACACATTTTTCCTTTGCTGGGGCCATCTTGCCCTCTAGTGGTTCACACCGCAGAGCTGACACAGAGCTAAGTTCATTTCTGCTGTAAATCCTGTAATGTCAATGGTTTCAGCCGTTATGCATAAAATGAAATAATTCAAATTCCCTTTGATCTGCACCCATTTCTTAGTGCATCAGACCATTAGTAAAATGTGCTATCATGGTGTGAAGTTAGAAAAGAAGATGCGTAATGCCTGCTGCCTTACACATATATCACACCCTGTAAGAGGATCCTCCGCCCATCCAGTCTGGAGTGATGTAGTCAACAGGTACATGAACTTTTTTGGCTGTTTTGGAAGAGATCTTTTATCAGCTTTTACAAAAAAGTTTGAGGAAAAACACTGCCTGCAAAATACTTCATTTTTAAGATTAAAACTTTTGCCTGGGAAGAAAAAAAAAAAAATGTTCTCAGGAGGTAAATAGGTAAAAGTCAAAAGCAGAGTGATGGAAATCCCAGCTGGTAACAAGCACCCTCCAGAGGGCTCCAAAAGATAAATTGTACAGGTTTAGATTCCTGACATTGCCTATACCAACATGAACATGGAGTATAACTTACTGTCTGTTTCCTTTGCGTGCCCCCTATTACACCCATTTTGACGTTTCTTTGGGCTCTGTCCAGCAGAGTTGCAAAGTTTAATTTATTCCATAAGTCTCAGCTAGAGACAAGAACAAAAATACCTGCTTCGTTTCATTTTAGCGTGAACTGTTACCTTCAGTGACCACAAATGTTTTTTATAGACTGAAAATAGGATGTCTGCATCCGAACTGGACTTCCGACGCAGTTAATTCCAGCTGAGGATCTGGCTTGACATCCTTTTTGTATTTGTTAGTGATTCTCATCTGCTAAGCTCCAGAGTTACCAGCTCTCCGTACCAGGAAAGCCATGCACTTCTAGGAGGCGAAGGAGAAAAAAAAAAAGAAGCAATTGTGAACTAGTTACTTGTCATTCAACAAGGTGCTTGGCTATGAACAGTCACGATGGTGAGTGAAATCTCAGTGCTCGGCTGTCTTCAGCGACTTTTGTCTAGAAAGGCTTTTCCTGTGGTTAACTCGGTCAGTGCAGATTGAATGACAGTGTGATTTGTCTCCCAGGTGAAAGATCTTCCAAGTCATTCTTTATACACTATCTACAAAGACAGAGAAACAGCAGACAAATGTAAGGAAAAGCTGTTCACTTTAAAGTTATGAAGAAAAATGTTTTCCAACTGCCAATCTCTAAAGAGCACTCCTTAGCATTAGAAACCACAAAATAAAAATCAATTACAAGACATCTTTGCGCGTGCACAGGCAGTATCATCCTTCTAACAAACTTCCTCCTCAGCTTTGCTGCAGAGGCCATGGGCTGCTGGAAGCAAGAGGAAAGCAACACCTGGACTTTTCCCACCCTGATCCTCTGCCTCTATGGATTCTTCTACATGATGAAACCATCAGAACCTTTCCTAACACCCTATCTAACAGGACCAGATAAAAACCTGACCATAGATGAGGTATGGCTTTACTCTGCCTTTTCTTTTATATGGAACAGCAAAAATAAAAAAGTAAAACTTTAAACGAAGTTTTAAACAAAGATGAAAACCCAAAAAAGCACAACTGTAACCAGCTTTGGCAGATTACAATTTGCAGCAGATGGCATAAATAAAAGATCCATTTAATGGATTCAAGATCTATTTCCCTGCTCAGCAGTCACAGGCCGCTTCAGTGTGGTTATATATTTTATTAATTCCTTCAGAGAAAAGACTTCCCTCTACAAAGCCATTTAAAATAAATGATCTTCTTTTCCCCAATAACAACAACACAGAGATTTCCTCTTCTCTTCCAGGTTACCAACCATATTTTCCCAGTTTGGACGTACTCCTACCTTGCACTCCTTTTCCCAGTCTTCCTGATTACAGACTACGTGCGCTACAAGCCCGTCCTCCTCCTCCAGGGCGTCAGCTTCATCATCACGTGGCTCTTGCTCCTCTTCGCACACGGAGTGGCGGCCATGCAGGCGGTGGAATTCTTCTACGGGATGGTGACAGCCACCGAGGTCGCCTATTACGCCTACATCTACAGCGTCGTCAGCACCGATCACTATCAGAGAGTGACGAGCTATTGCAGAAGTATCACTCTTGTTGCAGCCACCGTTGCCGCCGTGCTGGGACAGCTGCTGGTTTCCTTAGCAGATGTCTCCTACTTTCACCTTAATGCCATTACTTTGGCTTCCGTGTCCCTGGCATTCCTGTGCTCCTTTTTCCTCCCAATGCCTCAAAAGAGTATGTTCTTCCACAGGAAAGACGTCTCAGAAACCCTCCCGGGACCAGACAAAGGTGTGCCTACGGTCGGCTCCGACAGGCCATCGAGCTGCCAAGAGGACAAGGGCTCCGTGTCTGCCGACAGGGGACCGGCACCCGAACAGCAGGCCGGTAACGCCGAGCCCCAGAATCACATGCTCAGGGTACTGCTGCAGCTGAGCAAGGACCTGAGGGATTGCTACAGCTCTAGGAAACTTCTCTACTGGTCCCTGTGGTGGGCTCTGGCTACGGCAGGCTTTAACCAGGTTCTGAATTATATCCAAGTGCTGTGGGACTTCAGAGCCCCCTCTCACAGCTCTGCAGTGTACAACGGAGCCGTTGAAGCAATAGCAACTTTTCTGAGTAAGTCAGTGTCTAAGCATCGATCACAAAGGCAGTCTCTAAAGTTTTACTTTAGAATACTTTTAAAGTGCCGTTCCACTGCAGACGCTCCAGGAAGCCAGTGTATGCACTGCGCATTCAAGTACATTCTTTGATGTACAAAACGGTTCAAATGTGAGCTATGCATTTTTTCTTTAGCGCTGGGACACCCAACTTTATCCTACTAGTATGCACAGAGTGTACAAGTCACACAGACTTTACACCCAGCTGATAAATCCATTCAGAGGCACCTGTGTTTCTTTGGATGAGGTTGTTGGGGATTTTTTTTCCCCAAAGTATCCCACAGTTCCCATAACAATGGTGGTAGCTCACACAGATGAGAGAATTTTTTCAGAAATGTCTTACACAAAAAGAACATAATCCTCTCATTAAGACCATTTTCTAGTGAAATACTCTTGTGCAGCAGGACAGAAAGAAGAATTTTAGTCATTCCAAGATACAGAGAGTTGCAGAAAAAGAGCTTCTTGAATTCATGACGCTACTGACGTTAACCATTATGCTTTTGCACCGGAAGCAGATGCCCACACCACACAAGCAAAGCAATGTTAATGAAAGGTTAACATCAAAGGATACCACCCTGGCTTGGCAGCGTTTCACATATTTATATTGTGCTGCTGTAGAGAACTTGCACAAGACATCGGGGTGTGACCCACCAAGGAAAATAAACATGTCTACATCATACCTCGTCATTCAGGTTACCCTTACAGCCATTAAGGAGAAACAGGTACTTCTAAGTTAAAAAATTGCTCTCGTCTGGAGGTAGGCAACTAAATAGACCAACTGAATCGCAAATTAGAAGCACTTAACTCCTGTAGCGTCTACTCCTTGATGAATTCCTCTTTCTCATGGAATTGGCTATTTCTCAATGTAGAGGTGTAGAAGTTTTAAAATTGTATGAGACCCCTAAGATGGATAGTCAGGTGGCTTACCTTCACAACAGATGCGTCTTTGTAGCAGGCCCACCAAAAGCAAGCAGTGCCTATCCTTTCTCATTTCCCTGAATATACTCACTTGATGCCTCACAACAGTCCCTTTTTTGGCAGCTTAGCCCCTTTATGAGCTGCACAGAGCTAAACCGTTAAGCTAGAAGGTTTACTAGCTTAGCTATAAAGTAAGCTAGTAGAAGCTGGAAGAATTGTTCTTGAGCTCCAAACCGTGTTCCTAATTCTCTCCCTAGAGATGCATGCCGGGTACAGACAGCTAAATAATGAATCCTTCTACATAACAGTTTTTCCTGCAAAGTGGAATAAAACATTGAGAAAGGAATGGCAGAGGCTTGATTTATGCAGTTGTCGAAAAATGACCAGTCATCTGCACGACTTCAGAAGCGATTAGGAATGCTTTCAAAACACTTCAGAACTACTCTGCTTCATTATTCAGCATTGCCTTTCGGCATGTGAGGGTGGCAAGACCTGGTGATACAGGCTGTAGAACAGATACAACATTTACGTGTTTTTTTTCTCTTTTTCTAGGCTCGGTAACATCTTTTGTAGTACAATATATGAAAATTAACTGGGACCTCTTTGGAGAGCTGGCTTTAGGGATCTTCTCTGCAATAGATGCTGGTTCTCTACTTCTCATGCACTTCACTACCAACATCTGGGCATGTTACGCCGGCTATCTCATTTTCAAAGCATGCTATATGCTCCTCATTACAATAGCAACGTAAGTATAAAACCTTACAGTGCTGCCATTATGCACAGAATACTAGCCGTACTTTAAGTTTACTTTGGGCATCCCTCCTTTTACTCAGAGGTAGCTGATCTAACGCTAGACATAACTGTTTAGGTAAAGACAAGGACACTTAAATGTCTAGTTATGTTGTTTTCATTCTTCTAAACAACCGTAAAAGAAAAATTATCAAAAGGACATTGAACATTTACCTAGGCAGAAATCAGTCAAGGTACAAGGTATCTTTATTACTGAAGGCAATGGTAACAGCAAAACATATAAGCTGTTTTCCTCCTGCCTGGCATGGAAGATGCAAAGTGAACAATAGGGACAAGCATGCCTTGACGACCATCCTTTAACATCCCCTTATGTCTAGACCACCTCGCTGATGCACTTTATAGCATGCTAAGAAGTGTACAAACTGCATGAATGCGAGAAAAGATTTGGCTTACTGAAGGCAATGGTAACAGCAAAACATATAAGCTGTTTTCCTCCTGCCTGGCATGGAAGATGCAAAGTGAACAATAGGGACAAGCATGCCTTGACGACCATCCTTTAACATCCCCTTATGTCTAGACCACCTCGCTGATGCACTTTATAGCATGCTAAGAAGTGTACAAACTGCATGAATGCGAGAAAAGGTTTGGCACAGTGTTCCCCAAAATAACAGTGTTCCCCAAAATAACTTTATACATATAATCCTTAATGATATTATGATGTAAAGAAGAAATAAAAGAGAACATTGGACATACAAACTCAGACAAGATCTCTTAGGAGACCAAGCTATTCTGTTGTCAGAATTAGAAAAATGAAAATAATGTAAATAACAAAGATTATATATAATCTGTGTAATAAATAGAAAACATTTTTATTACTCCAGTTATTTTATTGATTGGAATGTCTTTAGACATACCACACTATTTCATTAACAAAAATACCAGATGCACTCTTATGTCAAAACACAAAATTATTCAGATACCATTTTAAAAAAACTGCTAAAACTATGATGCAAAAAAAAAGTAAAAGCTTGCACAAAAAACCCTGCTAAAAATCAATGAAAAGAGTACTGCAGGAATAACACCCTTTTGTTCAGATAGGAACTTTGGAGGTAAATATTGCAAGGAAAGATGTTCTGATTATTGTCAAAAAAGATATTGCAAGGAGAATCTACAGGATCTTGACAGAAATAAACAGTGTGCTACCTCCGCTGTCAAGCCATAAAGCAAAGAGCGATTTGCATCATCACAGAAAAGTTGGTTAGAAGACACCCGTAGTGACCTTTTAGCCCAACCTCCCAGCCAGGGCAGAACTCCTGCCAATGCCAGATGAGGTCACGGTTTTGTCTGGCCAGGTCTTTGAAAGCCTCCAACCATGGAGACTTTACAACCTGTCTGGCATGGCCTGTGAAGGTAGAGAAGGAACAAAGGGGAAGGTTAAAGAGATCCGATATTCTACTAGATAAAGCAGATCATCCGGTAACACGGTTTGGAAAAGCAACACAGACAAGTACAAAAACATCAAAATATAGTATAGTCGTCCAGACTTTTTTTTTAGAGAAAGCAAGGAAGCAAACAAACAAATGAAGCACCATTTCCTCCGTCCTTGATATATCATCTGCGTGAATCGTTTCTCTTCATCAACTAAATGAAGAGCAACAGCTTTCCACCCAGTGTGAAGTAACTGACCTGGCAGACTCACATTAGGTTCCAGATTGCAGTCAATCTGAGCATGGAACGCTATGCCTTGATGTTTGGATTCAACAACTTCGTTGCGCTGGTGATTCAGACCATTCTTACAGTAGTCGTCGTGGATTCAAGAGGCCTGGAACTGGACATAGTGACTCAGGTAAGTGCTATTAACTTACTTCCTATTTACTGCTTAGCCAATTCATCTTCAAAAGTTTACCAAGAAAGAAATTGCTATGCCAAAGGACAATTTAATTCCCTCTTTCTTCTATAGAAATCTAGACATCTTGCTCTTCCCTTGTGTTGGCCATCATTCTTCCCTTCTGCCTTCTAGTGCAGCATTTAGGATTACAGATGCTGGTCTCTGACTCTTTAAAGGCAGATACACCAGAACGTAAATAGTCAGGCCCTGCTATCTGACCAGCTTCTGCTAATTAATAGGACACTGAATTACATCTTCTCTGCCCAAAAATTCAGGCTGGTTTTCTCAGATGCAGAACCAACATGACCGCCTGTTGTTAGGGGAGTTCAAGGCCATGAGACACAGCCTAGATTCTTGGAGTTACTTCAGCTCAAGTGAAAACGACACCTGCCTTCTAATTCCAGCTCAGGAGCAAACCTGGTCTGTATCTCAACGTGAATAACAGAGTTTTCTGCCCGTAGTTTGGGCACTTAATTTGGGGTGGGACATCCTATCTCACAACAGTGTCCCTAACTTCAGTCAGCGCAATTCCACTCATGTTGGAGTCAACTGAGATGCACTGACTTCTGCATTTTCTCAGGTGGGATCTCAGCTGGGGCAGCTTCCTACTCCCATGGATTTGAGGAAGACTAAAGCTATTCAGATATTCTGCACAGAGAAGGCAAAAGTTACTTTAAAAGATTAAAGAATGAATTAAACACTAAAAATTAAAACTTTAAAATTAAGGACAGGAATATGTAGGACTTCATAAATAGCTTTGCCACTGTTGATGGAAATATTGATACAAAGTCATGGCATATTTACTGAAGCCAGTGTGGTGACAGCACTGAAATGTGCAAGTAAGAGCAAAAAAGGACCTATCCCTCCCCGCCTCTGATGTTTATTAAGAGGCATAAGGATTGGAAGCAAGGGGCAGTTCTTCATTCCTCAAAGATCTGCTGTTTGCTGGAAAAGCTAAGATTTTTGCTTAATCACAAAAGGAAAAACTTGAACGTAGAGAAACTGTGCCAGAACGCAGGTAAACAAATAATATTAGAGTATCTGCCATCTCCAGAAGCAGCAGCGTTTCCCAAATGTGCTTCTCATTAATTCTTCTGCCTTTTTCTCTCCCCCTCCTAGTTTTTAATTTATGGCAGCTACTTTGCAGTCATAGCTGGGATTTTCTCGATCAGAAGCATTTGCCTGCTTGTGTCAAGCAAATGCAAAAGGAAAATAGCAAGATCTTGCAAAGAGCATCTGAACCGTGCTGAACACGCATCAAAAGAGCAGATTGTACCTGGCTATACGACACGGCTGTAGGAGTCAGGCAGACAGGCTCACGTGGCCAGGCCCTCGTGGGAGAAGAGCTCCTGCTGCAGCATGCAGGAACAGCAGTGCAAGATGAACGTACAACACAGCCCTGAAAAGCTACGCTGAATCATTACAGCACTTCATTACAACATATGCCAGCTAAGAGATCACCATAATGGCACTGTACCAAGAAGAAAAGATAAGTTGCTTTAGATTCTTATTTACTTGCCTATAAATAGCTCAACAGCAGTAATTTATACACAAGAACAGAGCGGCCACCTTGGCATCCCACTGTGCACGACGGCAAAGATCAGAGCTCACCCCGCCTTGCTTGTTCTAGCTCTCGTATACGGCGTTGGCAAGCTGCTTCCGTGCACATTTGCTCATGCGTGTGGGTGAAGGGTCTATCCCCCCCTTCGCACATACCTTGTTCTGAACCAAGGAAGAAGGGATTGTGTTTGCGGCGTTGTATTCTTTCCTACCTAACTACAGGCGATTCGGTGACAGACCCCTCCCTTCTAATTGAAAAGCCCACGTCAGAAGCGGGCCTTCTGCACACGACGGTGCAGAAAAGCAGGGTTTGCACAACCTATCCGAGAAGGTCCGCTAAAACACTGCTAAGCCACAATTGGTGCTTGGCGCACATTTGAAAGCTGCAACCTAAACACTGTACTGAGTCCATAGCAACCTCAGCCCAGAAGGGAAAAACTTCAGAGTCAAAACAAAACGAAAGGGCCCCACTCCTTTCCTTGTGCTTCCAGTAAAATTAAATTCAGGCCTGAGCGTCTTCCCGTTTCAACAGGAAAAGAAAAAAAAAAAGAAATAAAATCAAAGGGATTGAGTAGTATGGACTAAAACCAGAGAAGTACATTGTGGAGCAATTTGGCTGATTCCGCACAGGAAAATTCCAGATTAACACGAATATCCAAGCAGATTTGTAACTGAAACAAAAAGCTAGCATCATGTGTGCTTTTGAGTGCCAAGAGGGAGGTCCACTGATCTTGGCCAAGGAGTTGGCAGGGTCAGCATCTCAGAATTTATCAAGACGCTTCAAGTCCTACGGCTAATTTAGTCCGGCACAAAGGACAGTTAGTCCAGGAGAAGAAAAAAGAGACCATAAATGAGTTTGCATAGTGAATGCCTAATTTAATATAAATTATATCCGTATGTTGAAGTTATTTCTGTACTGCTGTTTGCTTCTAGCTTCCAATACCTACATCTAACTAATAAAAATAGAAAACACTTAGCATTTACAGATTAAATTTTTTCCTGCAGAGACACAAGCTATCATTTGTACAGACATATGTGCTTTTCATACAACTGTCAGAAGCTGCAACTAGCCAAACTGCCCAGAGGCGAGAGCAGGCGGGAGACAAGCAATTTGTTTCGAGTCACAAGAAGCAGCAGTAGGATTTGACCAAACGAACCCAGCCAATTTTCTAGGCTTTTTGTTTACTATTGTGCACGGTGCGGACATTCTTTGTTGTAAACTGGCTCTAAGCAGAACAGCTTAACCAATGCAGCTGCAAAAGCGGGAGATGTACTTAGTCTCCGCTAAGCAGTAAATATCTTTTATTACTGCAGAACAGAGGGCATGATATTCCTGCCTGAAGAAAGGGGGACAAAGTCCAGTAGAGCAAGGACTATTTTGTTTTACTTTTCCTTGTGAGCAGGAATCTTCTTTCGAGGCATTTAGTTAAAGAACTAGGTGCCAGTCCTGGACTAAAAGCTAACTAGAGTTTGTGTTTAAATGAAAAAGAGGAATTTGGTATTTCCAGCTCCATGGTCTTCGACTGCCTTTGGTACAGAAAGTTAACAAATATTTCTCTCTATGTAGCATCTGACAAAAGGGAAGGAATCAGCAACATGTGAAACTTTTTGCTCTTATTAAAAAAATAATGGCAGTGGTAAGCTGCAGGAAAGGAGCTAGAAAAACTGGTAGAAACAACCATAAAAATTCTTCTATTCCGAACTGGTCAGAGCTCACTGCTTTCCGCATATATGGGATGCCACTAAGGAGCAAAGGAACCAAGCAGACACCACGTATTTTGTTCACAGCTGCAGAGAACACTATCTTCAGAAAACAGATAAGACTTAAAAAGAAAAAAATCTATTCCTATTCTCTCAAATTTCCAAATGAAAGACTCTGAGGTTGGGAGTTGGGAGGAGCATTGCGGGGACGAAGGGGGGGGGAAGGAATAGGGAAGGAAGAGGGCAGCTCTTAGGAGTGTTAGGAAAGACATGACACATTGGAGGCGGAAACAACAGCAAGAGAAAGGTAAGGCCTTACATTACTCTGGGTTTTCAGCTGCAAATCAGTCAGAGATTTCATCCAAAACAGTAGGATGTACACATCTACCTGTGCGTTCACGTACATACACACACACACACTCTTCGGAGAGGAGGTAGTTGAGGCTTGCCAGGTTATGAGCAAGGCTGGAACCGCAGGCTCTGTAGTTCTGCAGGAAAAGGAAGCTCTGAACAAACCCACCTCTCCTTGCAGCTTTTAGTATTAAGTGCTTATCTTTCTCCCAGCGTGCTAAAGGATTCCATGTAAACATGGAAATCCCGAGCTGAGCACATCGCACCCCATAGCTACAACCCCCTCTAAATACAACACTAACTACCTCTGAAACATCAGCGGGTTTGGGCACAAGTCATCCATGAAGATACAGTCCAGTGAGATAAGGCCAGTTCTGGCCAACCAGGAGCAAACAAATTGTATCTGTATTCAAAGCAAGCAGGTATTAAACCAAGAACCGCGTGGGTTACCAGAGAAATGCTAGTCAGCAGCCACCTTTCAAGCAGGCCGGTAGACCTACCCAGCAGCATCTTCCCCATGGTTCTTTTCCTTTCTCAGAAGCCATTGGTAAAGAAAGAGAATGAAGCACGGAGGCAGAGGCAAGCCTGGCTTCTCTGAACGCTTGCCTGCCTGGTTGCACTACACACTAGAAGCAGTGCGACGAGTTTCCATACCTGTGGAAAAAGACCGGGCTCTGTCCAGCTCGCAAAGCTGCTCTGCGTAGCACGTGGGGCCCCTCCTGCCAGGGCCACAGCATTTGCTCCCAGCGTCAACACACGTCCCACCAACAGGCTTCAGGGTCAACTCCCTCCTCTGATGAACCTTGGAAGACATAGGGAGTCCAGTCTAAAAAGTTGGGTAAAGGAAAGCAAAGCAGCAGCAGCATTTCTCTGAAGCAGTTCTGATTTTTTAGCTTAGAAGCTAGATTTAGAAGGTTCTTATCTTCTTGTCCATTTGCCCTTAAGTGACAGATTGGTCCTTATATAGAAGTAATTCCTGGCTAGCTAATAGTACGTGGTATTCGATGTCCTACCTCCCCGCAGCCCCAGCAATGCCGGGACAGTCAGCAGAGACGCCATGAGCCCAGAGGCCACCGTGCTGTGCGCCGGGGAGGGTCAGTGTCAGCCCAGACCGTAAAATGGGTGCTGTGTCTTACCCATGAATCAGAGACCAGAGCTTTTAAAGGTATTTATTAACACAAAAAAGCAATCAAGTGATTGCCTTCTTGCCATGTCAGTTTTTATTAATCATTAGCTACTGCGAGTCTTAAAGCTTTATCTTAAAATTAGAACTCAGTTTGCTGACAAAACCTGTAAAGGAGAAAGCTGCCCCTGCAACCTTCATGGCCAAGTCCTGCAAACAAGAAGAGCTGTGATGAATTATTATTATTATTATTATTTAAATTTCTGTTAACATTTTATCCAGTTTAGAAAGGACTTTTAGGAAACAATAAGACACAGAAATTTCTTACCGCCTCCAATCCTAAAGGGTGGTTTCTGACTTCTACAAGACAGAAAGTCATCCTAGGAGAGGACTGCACAGGAATCCACGGCAAACGTACCACAGCCACAGCTTTGACAGGTAATGTATTACCTTCGGAGTTATTTGGAAGCGTGCTGGCCACTCACTTGCTCAGCGCATTTGGAAGGGATCCAAGATTTATGCTGATGTCATTGATCAGTCCGGGGTTTATTATATTTTTATTTTGAAGAGATAACAGACAGCAAAGGATTTTAAAGCAGATATAAAGAGTTAAGGATAAAGCGGGCTATTTTTTGATATGTAGATACAATGATTTGTAAGAGGCAATCATTTGAAATCAAGTTTCAAGGTTAGGGTTGGTTTTTGTAACCTTCCTCTGAGGTCACAGAAATACTACCTTAATAACATACTATTTATGCTAAGTTTTAATAAAATATATAGTCTCTCAGTGCAAGTAGAAGCACTTTTGATAAAGTGCCTGCTATAAAATGGAATTCAACAATTTAAAAGAAATAGCTTGTAACAGCTTGATTAAACATTAGTCAGTGCTTTGCTGTCATTCTTTTATGGTTTCAGAACATTGTTTCACTTGTTTTCCAGGAACAGTGGAATTGACTTTCTAAAGCAAAACAAGTAAAATAAGCTTTAAAACGCCAAATCTCTTTAGACTTCTTTTTGCTGCCAACTACCGTGAAGAAACAAGTCCCATGCTTTTCCTTTTGATCGCTTTCAAAAGTGAATCGAGGTTCCTCTTTTCTAAGTCTGAGCAGGTACCACGAGCAGATAGTTTCCGCATCTTTATTTACCCACTCAAATGACAGGAGTGCAAGAAATATGACGAGTATTAAAGTATTTTGAAGAAACCGAGCTCACAATGGGTTGCGAGCTGGCTGGTGGCTTTTGTTGTCTGCAAAAAGGCTTGCACTTTCATTGTTCCACTTGGCTCTCAGGCTGCAAATCAACAGGAAAAAAGCCTCCGAGCATGCCGAGACTGAGCTTTAATCTCACAGTTTGGCCGCTCATTTATTCAGAAATGAGACTGTAATGGAACTTCATTCTTCCACTACGATACATCCAATCGATTCTAAGTACATCATTAAGAACAACCTTTGATAGATGATACAGAGGCTGGCATTTACCACCACCAATGCACCTTGATCCAAGTTGTTCATTTACAAGCTGCATCTGCGATCACTGGCAGGTTTAGCGAAAGAAACATTAGCTG